TGCAGAACTAAATATATATATATTAAAAAAACATGTAATGGCAACATTGTGTGCTTCGGGACACCTACTGTTCTTCCAGCACATGTAGAGAAAAGAAACCACATCATCTTGACTAATTTAATAAAAGGTATATCAAATTTTGGCAGAGTACGTTTTTGGTTAACAAAAATATACCTTAGTTATTTCCATTACTGTACTGTTTTTCCTCCAGGCAAGAATCAGTGAGAATAAATGCTAAAAGTCAGGTTAAAACAAAAAAGCAACATTGCACATTACCCTCTGTGATGTAGCAATATAGAACAGAGTTAGGGACAATGAGGTTCTGTGTTTCCTTTTCTCAGAACCGTGGGCTGTTGATTCTTCTTTCAACTTATGAAGCACCCGACCATCTATCAATCAGAACTGAAATGGATTTTTTTTTAACAGCTAGGATCTTTTAGACATTAATACGTGGACTTGCCTCAATACTAACTCCTACAAAGCAGCTTTCATTGATCATGACAATCCATGTTGAGGTCTCTATTATAAATAGCATTTTCAAAATCTTTAACACTTCTTGGCTTTTACCAGAAAAAATAAAAATTATTTAGTAGCGTGAGAAGATCTAAAATTTGCCATGATGTAGTGACTTCTCACCAACCCCAGAACACATAATAGAAGAAGAAATAATATTTTGTATTTAGTAGTCTCAGGTTCCTCAACAAGACCAGAGATGCGAGAATAAGAGAGTGGGTTTCAAGCAAGCAAGCTTGCAGCCTCTTTACCACAACCAGAGATGCTGGCTCTTGTGAAAGAGCACAAGGCATTGTGGGTCCTGGAATGGCACACTACTGACAGTATAAGAGTTTTTCTCAGCAAAATTGAACAGCTTTTTCAAACAGTAGTCATCCTCCTAGCTCCACATCCCACCCAATGATTGTTGGTAATGGGAGGAAAGCCAGAAGGGCCCTGCCCACAGATCCCCTCCCAAAGGACTGTTGGAGAGATCTGTACTCCCTTCCAACAGGAAAGCTATTTGGACAACAAACTGGTGGTTGTGGCTGTGTGCTGGAAACTCAGTAGAAGTCTCTCTCCAAAGACTATTTTTAAGCTGTCAAGGTGAAAGCTACCATTTAACGTTTTAATTAAAACGCTTCCAAAACCTATTCATTTGTGTGTGTTTTGCTTTGGTTATTTTTTTATAAGTATAACATTCTTTGATAACAGTAATAGTTTGTAGGTTTGTGTGTACAGTACATGTAATTGAAGTCAATGGGTGCTGTAGATTCCTCTGGAACATCAGGCTGGGAGGAAAGAAGTTAGCCTCCCAAAATTACAAAGCAACTTTTGAAAATTCAGGCCTTATTTTGTATTTGTAATAAGGCATCACCTAGAGGCCACACCCAAGACTGGTGCCCACTTGTGCCAGGCACCATACATACCCACAGAAGGGAGACTGTTAATGCCCTGACGAGACAACAATTAAAGCTGCTTTCAAGCATTTTGGTGAAAATATACACTTGGGATATTTAGATGAAATTATGCAGATTTTGTCAATGTGCATTTTAAAAGCATGTCACAGAGCACTTAAAACTTCCCCCCCCCATCTGATGTAATATCTGTTTACCTAAAGCTCATACTGTAAAGTCCATAAAAGTACTGTGGGTTTGAAAACAAACAGAATACCCACACAAAATAAGTCATCAGGACTTTTCATTTCTATCTGCAACCTTAAAAGTATGAAAAAATACTAAAATTAAATCCATATGTACACTGCAGTATAGTCTGGTGCTTGCATTATTGCTGATTATAGGAACTCAGTGTTTATAATTTGCATTCTTTCCCAGGCTTTTCCTTTATTTTTTTGAAGTGAAAAGCTGAGGTTTATGCTCCTGCCAGGTCATAAATCAGACTCTAGAACAGAGTGGGAGCTTTAAAGACTGCCCCCTTGTGTGAAGTGTCATGTTCCCAAGCTTGAGACCAGGGCTGCAGATTGACAATGGAAACACTAGGATAAGATCCACAGTGGGGAGACAACAGGAGCCTATGACAAAGGGATCTTCAAACACTTTATAAGTCCATACAACTAACACAGAGTTCAACATGGAACCACATTGTACTTATTAAAGTATGAGGAAATTCAGGATTTATTACACAAATTCTACTGAGGATGAATCCCGTTATCAGTAATGAACCAACATATGAAGAACAGTGAAAATACCAGTGCAATCATGTAAACAAAAAAGAGCTGAGCTCACTACAGTGCACTGCTTTCAAGAAGGGAATAGAACAGGGGTCGGCAACCTTTCAGAAGTGGTGTGCCGAGTCTTCATTCATTCACTCTGAGTTAAGGTTTCACGTGCCAGTAATACATTTTAACGTTTTTAGAAGGTCTCTTTCTATAAGTCTATAATATACAACTAAACTATTGTTGTATGTAAAGCAAATAAGGTTTTTAAAATGTTTAAGAAGCTTCATTTAAAATTAAATTAAAATGCAGAGCCCCCCAGACCGGTGGCTAGGACCCAGGCAGTGTGAGTGCCACGGAAAATCAGCTCGCGTGCTGCCTTTGGCACCCTGGAATAGAAGAATCAACTTAACAATAAAAGTTTCCCCTCCAGTTTCCACTGAATGTGCCTGTAAAATACAGAATCAGTCTTCAGTACAAGCTGTGAAAGTGGAGAGGATAAGCCAAATGTCCATTGCTCCAGAGGTTATTCAATAAGGACCAAATCTTCCCACTGAAGTCAATGGCATCCATTACCCATTTTGCTGTGAATTGAGAGGTTTTATGTTTTGAAATCTTTTGGGGGAGGCGCTCTGAGCCCTTCCTGGCCTGAGATTAACGTATCATAAAAGCGTAAGAATATAAGAATGGTCCACCTAGCCCACTATCCTGTCTTCCGATAGTGGCCAATGCCAGGTGCTTCAGAGGGAATGAACAGAACAGGTAATGATCAAGTGATCCATCCTGGCACCCATATCCAGCTTCTGGCAAACAGAGGCTAGGGACACTATCCCTGCCCATCCTGGCTAACAGCCACTGATGGAGCGATCCTCCGTGAATTTATCTAGTTCTCTTTGAACCTTGTTAGTCTTGGCCTTCACAACATCCTCTGGCAAAGAGGATTTTATATATATTGTGACAAAGTTCTTCCTCTGTCTTGGTGGGTCCTGCACTTATTGGCGGATTTTCTTGCCTCAGAGATTCATCATGTGGGTTGGGGAACAGCCTAGAGACCTTCTCCTCTGGAAGAAACGACAGTCCAGGTCAATTGGGAGGTTTGGGGGGAACCTGGGCCCACCCTCTACTCCGGGTTCCAGCCCAGGGCCCTGTGGACTGCAGCTGTCTATAGTGCTTCCTGTAACAGCTGCATGACAGCTACAACTCCCTGGGTTACTTCCCCATGGCCTCCTCCAAACACCTTCCTTATTCTCACCACAGGACCTTCCTCCTGGTGTCTGATAACGCTTGTGCTCCTCAGTCCTCCAGCAGCACACCCGCTCACTCTCAGCTCCTTGCGCCTCTTGCTCCCAGCTCCTCACACTCACCCCACAAACTGAAGTGAGCTCCTCTTAAAACCCACATGCCCTGATTAGCCTGCCTTAATTGATTCTAGCAGCTTCTTCTTAATTGGCTCCAGGTGTCCTAATTAGCCTGCCTGC